GGGCCCCATGGGGGAGATGTGACTCAGCCAGGGGGTGTGAAGGGGGCATGGCTTGCCTCCAACTTGCTTTTCGGGGGGGGGGGGGGGCGCGGTGGGGTGGGGGGACAAGGGGATTTGATGCAGCCCTACAGGGGGAGGGGATGTGACCCAGGCCCAACCTGGCCCCAAGGGAGCACAAGGGGCCTGGCTCTGACTGGTTGTGTGGAAGTTGGGGTTTGGGAATTTGGCAGGGGGAGGGTGGCCATATTAGTGGCCACCACTCCCCCACCACCACATTTTCCAATCCAAGAGGAGCCCCACGGGCCAGATGCAATAGTTCTGCGGGCTGCGTTTGGCCTGTGGGCCAGAGATTGAGCACCCCTGGTCTGCCCTAGCCCTAGTGTTTTGCATTGGAAAGGTCCTATTTGATGCACATTATGTCAAAGAATGTGTAGGTAAGTGGGTGGCAGGTGAAGTGAGGATGGGCAGTCCAGTGATCAGGACACTTGTCTAGAGTTCAAGTGACAAAGTACAAGGGTTTGCCAGGGTCTTCCTTACCCAAGCCACCTAATTTCCCTGTATCTCAAGTGTCCATCTGTAAAACAGGATACGTACATCCCTTCCTTGCAGTGATGCATGTGACGGAAGTGCCTTAGATACACAATGATGATAGAGATGATATAATTGCCCAAGACATATTGGATGGATGTTCTGCCTTCCTGTGTTTATTCATTGCAGTCCTAATTGGAAGGCTTGCACACTACTGTGGTTATAAAAGTAAATGAAGTTCCATGTTATGAAGTTATAGAGGGGAAAAATGAAGCCAGGGAAGAAGATATAGCTTTACCCTATCAATAAAGAGCTATTTAAGAGGTTACCTGATGGTTATGCAGAAAGTCCTATTCAGCAACAAGACCTCCTCTGACCAAGTCCTTATCCATGTCTTGAAGGTTGGCTTGCTAATTTGTTTCATTATAGGCAGAGATGTGGGTTTTCCAGAAAATTTTGAATTGGAGAATGTTCTGGAAAATTTTCCAATGCCCTAAATAGAGTGTGATCTGATTTAGCATGTTTATTTGACTTGTATTTAGTAAGCAAAGCTAAAAAAGTGCCCCATGTTAATTTTATGTCCCAATAGCCACAAGTTTTTGAACTGAAATAGTTGATCAGGAAAAAAATTATATATAGCACACTTAAATGTTTAATTCAAACAAATTCAAAGCTTTATGTGGAAAGAAATTATTTTTATTGGAATTCTTGTAAAAATGTAAAGACAATACACAATGGCATGTACTTCCCTTACATTACGGTCAAGTGGGTGGCAAATTGGCTTAAGGGTCACACCCAGAGAGTGATGGTGGATGGGTTGGCATCGACCTGGAAAGATGTGGGCAGTGGGGTCCCCCAAGGCTCGGTCCTGGGATCTGTGCTATTCGGTGTCTTCAACAGTGACTTGGATGAGGGCGTGGAGAGCACTCTGTCCAAATTCGTGGATGACACGAAATTATGGGGTAAAGTAAAGACACTAGTGGGAAGGGATCAAATCCAGGCAGACCTGGACAGGTTGGAAAAGTGGGCAGAAAAGAATAGGATGCAGTTCAACAAAGACAAGTGCAAAGTGCTGCATCTAGGGAGAAGGGATTACCAACACGCCTATAGGCTAGGGGATGACCTTCTCAACAGCACAACAGCAGAAAGGGATCTCGGAGTCATAGTCGACACTAAAATGAATATGAGTCATCAATGTGATGAAATAATCAGTAAAGCTAACCGCACTCTATCATGCATTAGCAGGTGCATCATGAACAGGTCCAGGGAGGTGACACTTCCCCTCTATGCAGCCTTGGTCAGGCTGCAGTTAGAAAACTGCGTCCAGTTCTGGGCGCCGCACTTCAAGAGGGATGTGGATAACCTTGAGAGGGTCCAGAGGAGGGCCACTCACATGGTCAGGGACCTGCAGGTAAGGCCCTATGAGGAGAGACTGAGGGACCTGGATCTCTTCAGCCTCTGTAAGAGAAGGCTGAGAGGGGATCTTCTGGATGTTTACAAATTCATCCGGGGGGGAGGAGGGGGGGAGGTGAAATAGGAGATGCTCTGTTTACCAGGGCACCCCTTGGAATAACCAGGAACAATGACCAAAAACTGACAGAGAGCAGATTTAGGTTGGACATCAGGAAGAACTTCTTTTCAGTGAGGGTTGCCAGAATCTGGAATGGGCTATCAAGGGAGGTGGTGCTCTCCCCTACCTTGGGAGTCTTTAAGAGAAGACTAGACAAGCACCTGGCTGGGGTCATGTGACCCCAGTGCTCTTTCCTGCCCAGGGCAGAAGGTCAGACTCAGACCTCTATTGAGGTCCCTTCCCACCCTAACAACTATGAAACTAACTGTTTGTTTAAATTTAAGGGAAAAAACTAAGGCACTGAAAACTGTTGACACACTAATTTTAGCACACCCAAATAACTGTGCATGATATGCCACAGTTGTCAACTCATCTACTTGAACAGAGTTTAACTCTCTTCCACTGAGGTCATTGCAGCACCTCCAGTTTCACTGTCACTATGTGTAGAATCACTTGCACTACTTATTAGTTCAATTTCTGAATCAGATTTAGGCACATTTGATTCAGAACTATTTGAACCACATTCTCTTTCGCTAAAGGATGGTTTTACCAGTGTGTCTATGGGCAAGGGCAACTTATCATCGCACTGCATCTTCTTCACTAATTGTGCTTCTGACTGATTCTCCAGAAGCAAGAGATTTTGAGAAATAGAAACAAACTTAGCAGTGCATTTGATTGTTAGTCTGTTCCTCCTTTTTGTCTTGATTGAGGTAAAAGCCTCCCAGTTCCGTTCACAAGAAGCTGCTGTTGGTGGAATGCTTGGGATCCTTAGAACTATCCTGGACAACAGTCAGGTGTTACAGTAGCCCTTCCACCGTGTGAGAGAAGACTTATTCTCTGCTGCCCCCCAAGCTTGCCTAATACCATGTTGGCATCCATTCATTGTTACTAACGAAACAATGAATTTTTAGAAATGGAAAATTTTCCACAGAAAAATAAAGCACTGGAAAATTGTCTGCCCCACATCTCTGATTGTAGGTATTACCACTCCAAGTAGAACCAGTAGATTATAATCTTGTTCACATAAATGAATAATTGTGCACAACATTGGATCTAGGGTTTAACTGAGGTATTGTGGGACTATGTGGTTAAAACACAAGGGGTTACTCCAAGGAATATTTCTGATTGGAAGTCATGGTTAGCAGTTTCTGGCCTGAAAGATCAATAGAGCTTTGATCACTGTGAGAGTCAGGCTATACTAGATGTCCAAATAAGGACTTGTCCTCGGAAGTTTGATGTTTATTCAGAGCAGTAGTTTGATCTGTGGAATGGGAGTGATGCCATATTGAATGATAATCTCTTAGGAACTCTTTTGCCCTAAAGTTTTGTAAAGGTCTTTCCTTTTCATCCTGTCATTTTGCCTAAGCCAGCTCAGCACTAAAATGATCATGTTCACTATTGTTTTCCACTTTTATGTATTTTGGTTTCTTTGAATTTTTGGAGGGTGGCAGCAAAATACTCTGAAAAGGAAATGATGATAATCAGAAGATTTTCCTTGACACATATCCAGTTCATAATTACACACATATACAGTCATGTGTACCACTTCTTGAAATGGTTGTGGTATTCACAAAAAAATAGCCACTCATGAGAGCCACTCAGTAGATTTTTGGATCAGGTCTTTAAGTCAATAGGAGTTTGTCCATTGATTTCAGGGGCTTTGCGCTAAGCCATCTATGAGAAATCCAGATTAACTTTATGACAGTTTTTCCTTCTTTATGTCCATATGTTTGCATGTTTTGTACACTCTCTTTGAACTAATCTAGATAGAATGCCTCCATGATGAAATCTGAAAAGTTGCCAGCTATGGTAGTTGCTCTGTATTTATCATAGGTCAACTTGGTTTATCTGAAAGATTTCAGGGCCATCTAATATTGGGGGTTGAGTAGTCTGAATGCAGTCTTTGATAAATTGTCCATGCTAGAAGCCAAGTGAGATCAGGCTAAATCAGGTTTTACTGTCTGGTGGTTTGTATGCAGAAATGTACTCCCTGCTGTTCCACTACCAAGAGAGTTTCACCTAGGTAAACTAAGGCTGCAGGCTTTTCTAAGGCAACTAGACTGTGTCGTTATTAAGGGGATACTATCAAGTAATTGAGAACCAGAATTTAGGTTCTTGAAATAAAACAACATTTTACAAAGCCCTGTCTTTCATGACTATTTCAAATTATCCAGTCAGGTTTTTCTCTGCTTGTTTTTTTAAAAGGGACAGTGTCAACTTCAAAATGATATTTTTGCCTGAAACATTTTTACTTTTGTCTATTGTAAGTGACCAAGATGAACAAAAAATATTAATTCTTCCTCCTTCCTTTTGTTTTGATTGTTGTATACTTGAAAGCACTTTGGGCAGTTCTACAAAGAGAGGCTTTCTACAAATAGAAAAACTGAAGATGCGAAACTATGAAAACAGACAGCGGGGGGTCGGGCAGGTGTACCGTCAGCTACTTTTAGCTCAATTTTTTCAAACTGCTTAGGGCTCAGTATCCCTCTTTAAGCATTCATGTTAAATTTTATAACCTAATCATACCAAGTAAATTACTAGTATGTGTGAACCTGAAAGTTCCTAATCTGTTTTCACTTGATGAAGATGAGTGAAACGAAAAAAAAAGGGTTGTTTTTTTTTAAGCATCCAGAAAATTTCTCATGTTTATCAACAGCAGTGGGGATAGAAATATAGGGGATAGATTACAGGAAAAAACTTTCCTATGATTTCTGACTTGGCTCCCTTTCCTGGTATGCCTGTCAAGTTAATTTGTTACTGTTACAAAATCTGGATTTTTATCTTTTGACCCTTGAAATGTAAGCGTCATGGCAGTTCTGCATTTTAAGTAAACGTCCCTCCATTTTTCCCCTAATTTCTGGTTTGTACAAAGATTAATTATTAAAATGTTGGTGTTTTGCAGGGAGGTTGCGTAGATTCAACAAACCAGAGCCTGGTTCTGCTCCTCATGACCCTTGGACAGCAGGATGTTTCCAAAGTCCTGCTAGGGCCGCTGTCTCCGTACACGTAAGTTGTTTTCTTCAGCCTAACAACCCAATCTCATTTAATTTGCTAATTATATAGAATAACAGGTATTTTTGTATGGAACGCTTTGCCTGTGGCTATGAACAGAACTAGTTGTCCTGATCCTTAAAATGAACCAGACGTCGTGAGTTACTTAGTGTTTATTTTTACACACTGGAAGACTTCTTTACTCTTCTATATTCCTCCTGATTCTGAAGCAATTAAACTTGTAGAGATGGGTTTATTGTTGTTCCTTGATCTTGGACTATATATACGTCAGTTACATTTTTGTTGTTGTTGCCTAGCATAATCTCTCATTTTTCCTAATTATCTCTTCATAAGGATTGCACAGAATGGAATATGGCTGACTAACATCAAAGATTATGCTCGGGTCAGGGCATAAATATCAAAGAGAAACATCTTAAAGATGTAACTCTTGGACTTCCAGCACCTCAGAGTCTTAGAACTGTCACAGACTGCACTGTATTCTTGGTTTTTTAAATATATTTTTATACATATATTATTTGTCTATGGCAGTTGCCAGTCGTGAGAGAGAAATGCTTGGTTTTCCACCATAGCAGTTTGAAACACAAAACTCAGATCAAAGGGCATGCTGTGCAGAGCTACCTTTTTTCCCACCATAGCTAGCTGACAACAGTTGGCTAGACAACTCCAGAAACTGAACTGATCAAGCTGTGCCCCTTCGAGGAAAAGTGGAAGAAAAGACTGCATGTCTGGGGATGGTATCAATTAGACCATGAACTGTCCTTTTTCGGTTATCATGGTACCGGTGCTGTATACGTGAAAGGTACAGTACTGTGATAACTGAAGAATGATGGTGCCATCACATGAGAGCTTTGACCTGCAGAATGACTGTCGAACCGGTACCTTGGAAACCAGCATATCCCTCAGTGCCATGTGGGAAGGTGGTTAGTTTAACATATATATATTTTTGAAGGGAGCAGTATAGTTTTCTCCTTGTGGAAGGAATAAAGAAGTTGATTATGAGTCAGTATGTAGCGAAAGCATTTAGAAACATTAGTGATTGGTGTACTCATATGTGTAATAACATGATTCACTATATAACATTTGAAACCATAGATTGGCAAAGTGTAAATGATCATCTGAATCCTTAAAGTAAATTAAATTCAGGTACTATATTTTATAGTTGTGATGTTTCATGGTGGCAAGGTAGGAATGAGGTTTAGGAGCAGGTTCCTAAACCATGGCCCGGTACCAGGCCGCAAAGGGTTGGCTGCCAGGTTGTGGGATGAGCCTGCTGGCGTGTTCCGCCCGCCCCCCCCCCCCCCCGTGTGGACCCCCACCTGTCTGCCCAGGCGAGCAGCTTCCACCACCAGCAGTCACGTGCTAGGTGGGGGAGCAACCCCAGGAGGGAGGCAACCGGCTCTGTGACACCCATCCCACTCCCATGCTAGTCCACAAAAAAAAACAGTTGGGAACCACTGCCTTAGAACAGCGGTTCTCAACCCTTTTTGTACCGGGACCCATTTATAAACATCGGTGGCCAGTCCCAACCCAGTACCCCTCACTCCTGATCCACTGCCCCCCACCCTCAGCCCGCCAGCATTTGGGGCAGGGTATGGGTTTGTGGGCCAGGGAGAACTCTGCCAGCCTGCAAAGGAAAAGCCACAGTTTCCCACACTTTTCTCCTTTAAAAGAGAATCTATTTTTAAAGTTTGGTGATCCATTTTTAAAGTTTGTTCACAACCCTTTCATATATTCTTGCGACCCACTGGTTGAGAAACACTGCCTTAGAATATATCCCTCAGAGTGAGAAATGGCCCTCCAGGGTCCATGCATGCTTGTAGGCAAGGAGCTCCTTTGCTTCAGTCACTGATGTGGAAGACTATATGTGCTAGGCTTTGTAAGAAAAGTAGGGGCTGAAGGAAAAATACATTGGCATATACTGCGGTCTGGATTCTTGCCCCTCACTTATGTTCAACAGAGGTAGGAGGCTTTTTTTTTTTTGCCAAACCAGCTCTGGCTGTGTGACCATGTTGTCTAACATCTCAGCTGTGCACAGTCATGTGTAGTATGTTCCATATCATGGAGACTCCCAGGCCAGTGGAGATTAGGGTTCATTTACACGTGGATCAGGAAAGTGGCTGCAGCTGTGAACAGTGAACCAGGAGCAGGTGAAAGACCTTTCTTTGCATAGGCCTTTTCTACAGTGAGCCAGGAGCAGGTGAATGGGAAACCTTACTCCAGCTAGTTGTGGCCATAAGAGGAAGAGAAAATGGGTTTTATTGCATGATCCAGCTAGGAGCAGTGGTGGCAGAAACTCCCACAAGCCTGTTGGAAGTGCAGCTATGTGGAGGGAGCAGTGCAGGCAGTTTCTCTGCTGCAGCTACACTGGGCTGAACAAAAAGGCACAGGGAAGGAACATGCTAAGTAAAGTAAAGGCAGACAAGCTCCGGAGCAAAAAGGAACAGCTCCATGAATGAGCAGAAACAATAGACACAGGGACAAAGGGGAAGATAAGACCAGAAATCCCTGCTGGGAGAAAGGGGCAGTAAAAGACAAGGAGATGCTTCTTTTTGGTAAAAGACATAAGAGAAGGAAGCCTCAGCTCTTGGGCGATCCTCGTTTTCATTCCTCCTATGTTTAACTGCTGCTACTTTTTCTCTGCTGGCTTTCTCATTCACTGATTCCTGTTTCTATGGAGACAATTGAGCCAGCTCTTTCGTGTATGTTCTTTATGGCTGTTGCAGTAAATTGGACACCTCCCATTATATCTGAACTTGCATGAAGCATTCAAGATGTGGATGTTTTTAAAAAACAGCTTCAGTAAATTGCATTGCATTGTCTTGTCAGAAAATGCAAATTCCACAGCTCTTCAGAAGGCAATCTGGTTTGCCTGTCCACCCACTGGGTGTTTCCACAAGATTGAAGATCATGCATATGGGTACATCAGGTTCCTTACCCAGTTCTGACAGGCGGGATGGGCTTCTCTGGAGAACTGCTTTTTTTTTGCTGTCGCTTAAATTGCATATGCCTTCATATAGCACATAAGAAGAGAGAAAATATTTTGTGGACATACCTGCCCAATTCATTTCTGTACAAACCACTGATCTTTCGTTTTTAGTCCTCATGTCTTTCATTCTTCTCATCCCATCTCCACTCCTTTATCATTGTCACCTAATCCTTTTCTGTTCCTCTTCTCTGCACACCTTGTATTTGGCTAATCTTCCTCTTCCCTGCTCGTACTTCACAGCTGATGAATTTCCTTTCTCTGCCTAGGCCTTTCCTATAGGCAGCTCCGGTCCCCAGCAAAATATTCTGCTTGTGGCTTCGTTTGTTCCTTGATGGTGGGAGGGGGAAGCTTTTTCTCTTCTCCCTTATGTAACAGTGCCCTCTAAAGGAGGCAGAGAGGCTGGCTGCCTTTCTGATTTTCCAGTTACTGTTGCAGGTATCCAGGCTTTTTCTTCCCCCACTGTGCAGGGTTAAGTCTGAACAGCTGCAAACATAGCTAGAAACTCAGAGGAGGATTCTGCACTGCTGTCTTCCAGACTTCCATGAACCATAGCTTGTGAACAGCAACTACAGATTAATTATTCCCCTCTTAGCTTCCATGAACTATATCTGCCCTGACTGTACAGTGACTTTTTTTACGCAACATCCTTCTCCATTGGTCCTGAAGCAGCACATTGTTTTCATCTACATTGTAGCCATGGATTTAGTGGTCAAACCAGCCTTTTCTCTAGCAAAGAGCAGAGGAATGATGAGTAGCTAGCTTCTGAAAGCCTTCATCTATGATCTGTCATAAACGCACTATGAAGTCACTCTCAGCATTTGGGATTGACATTATGTTCTGAGCAGAACAACCATAAAAAAAAAGGGGGGGGGGGGATGACTGTCCACAGATATTTCAAATGGCCTTCTAGAGATAAAGAGGCCAATCTGCTGTCTGATACCTGGAGGGTGGGTAGGCATGTGCATGTGTAGCTGAGGAGTTGCTGTGCAGGTGAGGAATAACTCAGTTGGAGTTTTGGAGCTCTACCAGCAAGTTTTGTAATAGAATAAAGGCAACAATTGAGCAGAAATTACATCTGTAAAATATTCAGCCACTTCTAATTCATTAGGTTCTTTTACCTAGTCCTGGGATGGACTATTTCTTGGAGCCTTACTTTTCTTTTTGAAGTGCAAATGAATGGAGAAGGTGCTGTCTGTGAAATGGTCTTCTGTGGCAGGGAGGATTTAGGTGCGATACCTAGAAAAAAATGTCATGTCTGTAAGCAGATGTTTTTGTTTTGTAGAAGGACAGTAATTCTGCTGGTAGGAAAAACCATCTCTGGCACATTCAGTAACAGTTGGCTTGTGGGTGGAGGAAAAATCTGTTCAGCGTTGTCTCCTCATTTGCAAAAAGTGTTTTAAATATGAGGTGAAATCGGAATGCACCATGACCTACTCTTCCCCTCTGTCCTCCTCTGCATCTGTGTGGGCATGTCTCTGCCCCCACAGGATGGATGAAATGGAAACCTGCCCCAGTCAGATTGCATCACACCTGTCTCAGCTGATGTCTGCACTTAGTAGAAGCTCTACTTCTGTTTCACTTTGTCACGTGCATCTCTGCATTTGTCAAAGCTCCTGACACACTTACTGTTCTGATTGCTTGGAGATACAGCTTTGAAGAACAGACAGTTGCCATAATGCATCACGCCCAACTTTACCTCTTAATGTTATTTCTTTGTCTCTTCTATGTAAGAATATGGCAAAGCCCTCTTACCTTTCTTCCTGTTTCTGTGCACGGAAGCCAAAGGACAGATTCTTTTCTACCTCTTAGGTGTGTAAGTGGACATTAGGTACATAAGTATGATTCTATACCATGCTGCTCAAGTCTTTGAAAACAGTTAATGCCATATATGGGTGTGGCCTCCTCCTTTCTGCTTTTTTGGGTCTCAGTTGTGATGATTGGGTGTTACAAAAGTTAGATGCAATTGCGGATTTTTTAGAGCTTGAACAGAGTGGAAAAGAATTGAACTTAGCCCCTTAAGTCTATATAGATGTCCAGCAGGAGGAACAGAATGTGTCCCTAGGAGAATTGAAGGGCCAGAATCCGGGATAGTACTGAGCACTTCTTGAATTGTGCTCATCATCTTGCAGAGTCAGACCCACTGGCTCTAAGCTTGGGTCCGAGGCTGCCTCTTGTTTTTAGGCAATTTACTGTGAGCCCCCTGTTTTGTTCAGCGGTCTCGGCCTGCTCTGCTTTCTAGTAATAGAGCCAGAGCTCTCTGAAGGGACCCAGGTGTTTGGTAAGCTGCTTGTTGATGCCTGTCAGCTTTCTCAAAGCACCTGAACCAACATAAGCCTGTGTGCATATTATAGCTGCAGTGAAAAACCTCACAGCTCAGGAGGGATGGAAGGAACAGCATCTCTTATTTTCTTCTTAAGATGTTAATCCCCTTGGGAGATGAGAGAGGTGCCTAAGGCACTTGCCTGGTATCTGTATTCTCTCTGACTTAACGTCCTACCCTGCCAGGTTTGAATTTACACGTGCCATATACCCCTGCTCCCTAGCACACCCAAATCCAGCCAGCAGGGTTGACTGGCCAGGCTGCCCCTGAAAATAACTGTCACATCTTGTCATCCCCTTCCCAACATGAATGACCAGACAGGTTTATTACATCCAGTCCAAAGAGAGAGCGTACATTTCAGTCACTTCCTGCCCACATCCTGTTTACTTTCACTGCTGTCAGAGGCTTCTGTTCAGAAGGCATTTTCCATTCTCTCAGTAGTGTGATCCTGGTACTTCTGCTTATCTGTCTTTGACCATTCCCAATATTGCAGCCAGAAATGTCTTGGACTTTTTTTCTTGGAGCTTATGAAACTACAGCAGTCACTGTCTCTATCTTGGCCTCCTGAATCCTCTTATAAGGCATGTTGCAGGCATTCTTTTTCAAAGTAGAATTGTGATACAGAATTGATAAAGGATTTTTGCCTCCAAATGCATTTAAAATAGTGTTAGCTCTTAGAACGGTGCATTTTCCAGGCTATCAACCAAACAAATGCTTGGGATAGATGGATGTGCATGCCCCCTCTTTCCAAAATTTAATTTGTTTGAGAAGAGGATTTTAGGCAGGCACTAGGAGAGATTAATGGGGCCATTACCAGGTGCTTTGTAAGAAGAGACAGGAAACTCACAATGGGCAGTTATAGGTGTTTCATTTGCTGCTGTCCGGTTTCATTTAATAAGTCCTTGTTTGGAGAGAATTAATAGGACTGTTCCATTCCCTTCTTTGTATCTTTCAGTATTTAATTTTTTCTACCATGTCCACTTTACCTTGCCTTAGCTTAACTGTTTAATTTCATCATAACCCTTATCTTTAAAAAAAAAAAAAAAAAAAAAAAAAATTCCCAGGAAAAAGGAAAAAATCAAAAACCTAGAAAGGTAAAAATCTAGAACTCTTGGTTCATTATCTTTAACTTTTATTAGACCAACTAAGACATCACAAAATAGTTATATTTTTCTGCACACTTTTGGGCTCACATGCCCTTCATCAGGCTCAGAGAAAATTAAAGATGGTAAAAAGTTCCCATAGGTAGGAAATAAACTTAATTTTTGCACAGAGGAAGCTGAAGATGGAAATCTGTACCTCTGGGTCCATGAGTGTCTTTGGAGTTGCTCTTTGTTGTGCAGATCAGGCAGGATTCCTTCCCTGGTGGTGTCAGATGGCAAACAGAGGTGTGTAGAAATCTTTCTTGTTGTTCAGCAATGAAGGTTATAATCCAAGATCTCAGGAGGAAGCACTTTTCCAAAAAGGAGTGGCCCAGAGCACAAATCCCTTCTTTAATAAAATACTAGTAAATTCTAAAGAAATGTGCAAGTTAACAGTGGTGAGAGCTTGTGCTCATATAAGTGCTCTTAAATAGGCTTGTTAAATATAGACACAAAATCTTGAATACTTTGAATTTCCAGAACAACCTACAGAAGTAGTTTTCAGTAATTCCAGTAAAATTTAACATTGAACATTTTAGGGAGTTAGCCTGGTTCACTGGATATAGAGCTAGATGGGCATGCAACCTGGCTTCTTTTCCAGTGCAGCCATTGACTGCCTCCAACTCTCTGCCCAGTGCCTAAAACCTTATGTTCTGGCTGAGAAAGCACCTTTGTAATACAGGGAACTTTTTTCCAAACGTATAGGCTCATTTTCTCCATTCTGACTTATACCTAGTAGCTATTTCAGTAAATGTTAGTGTCTGCTCTCCAGGGCCATCCATAGGGGGCGTGAATTGGGGCTACCACCCTGGGCTCTGCGCTTTGGGGGGCCCCACGAAGCCAGGTGGAGCAGCTGTGGTTCTGCTGCCAGCTTCACGTCCAGCCACTCGGCATCCCTCT